TCTATGTCTAAATAATTTGTGCCAGGTCAGCTCAGCATTAGCACTGTGGGTCAGATTCTAGGTGGTTTTAGCTTTGTGACCTTTAGGAAAATGTGGCATTTAATTTATAGTACACTTCTTCTGCAATTGCTACAGGTGTCATAGGTTCACTCATTTCCATGCATATTTGCTGACTGCCTGCAGCGGGAAAGGCAGTAAATAAACCTGTGTGAGTTGCTGCTAGCTTTTTGCTGTGTGACAAGCCCATGGGGTTTTCCAGGCCTTGCATTGAGAAGTATTTGAAGCTTTGTTCCCTCAATCTATGTCCTTGTGCTCACTTTCTCTTTTCAGGTAGCAGTAGGTGCAGGCTGGTGTCCTTTTGTCTTTCCTGACAGAGTGATGCTCACACAGCACTCACTTCAGTCAGCTCTTTAGTTGGCAGAGGCAGCACTGAACCGTGGGTGCAAGCCTTGCATCGTTTCTGACAGCATACTTTCCAGATGAGGTTGACTTTGAGTTTTGTTAAACAAAGTTAAAATGAGAGTAGAATCAAGAAGACCTGGTTGTTATGAAAAGACACAACTAAACATTTTAAATGAAGTGATTTAGATGTTATTATCATATTGTGGAGCATCACAGGGAAAGGCCTTGAGTAATAATTAGCAAGGTCTCTTGTCTCAAAACTGAACTTTGACCACCAGTCTCAGAGTGCTGGTTAGCTGCCCAGTTGTCAAAAATCCTTAGATTGGGAGAGTCTTGACTGAATGGCTCTGGTATATAACCTTTCTTGTGGCTTGTCAGTGCTTCCTGATTTCTGTCTTGCTGTCAGCCAGTCCTGTGCTTGGAAATATGGGCTAGCTAATCAGCATCCTCTGAGACACATTCCATGTATACAGAGTCTCATGTATCTAGATCACTTGGAGATGAGAATCACCTAGATACATAAGACTGTGCCCAGACACAGTTAGGGCCCTCCTCCTGGACCATCTATTAACCCATGTTTAGTAGGCATCTGCTATAACCCAGCCATCCTGACCACACTCCATCCACCGTATTTCAGCCCCTCTGGGAAGCTCCCTTCTAGCCAGATTCTATGTGCATCCCTCGCCTCCACCCTCCCCTTCTTATTCCTCCTATGCATTCCCTACCAGTCCTGTGGTACTCTTCCATCCTCATTTGGATGCCCAGGTCCTCAGCAGCCTCAGCAACTCCAGGGATCTCCTTTTCTTCAGGTCTTCAGCCTCTCTCTTCCAGGCAGACACACTGGCGTTGTTTGCTGGCCTCTCGATGCCTGAGAGACTATACTCCTCAAAATTAGTGAAAGGCCAGAGACAGCGCACCAGACCCAAATCCACACCGGGGCTACCCCTCAAGAGGTGTACACTCTTGATAGAGGTTATGAGCGGACTGCCCATGCCTTGAGTTTTCTTTTCCCCAGAGGAGCTAAAGTGCAATGATTTCAAACTCTTAGACCTTAGTCCATGGCAAGTGTTAAAGCAACACCTGAACAAAGTTCCACATCTCCTTTGAAGGACCTCACAGAAACACAAGCTTGAGAGATCAGGCATCTGAGATGCAGACCTTGGTGTTTCTAAGTAACAAGCAGAGATTACATTGTTTGGGAGGAGTCTTGCTCCAAGTCAGGGTGGGGAAATCATTCTCCTAAACAACTAGGGTTGTTTCCCCAGAGGGGAAAAGTAAAAGTCACATTTCTATTCGCAAACCAGGAGGCTATTTTAACTGCAAATTTAAGGAATTAAATATCTTCCAGAGCAAGAATCCTCAGATATGTAGCCAATAAATAACATGTACTAGGTAATGCACTAAATGTAACTATCCTCTCAGTGACGCATGTCAATGCAAAGGTCAGTGCCTGGGAAAGGACTAGAAATGATCAGATGGAAATTTCCCTCAGAATATAAAAGCTGAAACCTGTGTTTATTTGATTATCAAAATCACAGCTTTCTTATGAAGTCATAATAGACCCATCCATAAACTGTTGGATATGAAAATTTCCATGAGCAGCTGCTTTTCTTCATTGGTAAGTTAGAAAGCACAAAATGGAAAGTGTTTTCTATCATATTGGATGCCTGGAGAATTTTCTAATTGCTTTTGGTTCCTAATAATTATAGGCAAATAATATGTGCAGTGAGCCATGCTGAAATACTGAGTTCTCTTTCCAAGTCAGTTACATTGAGGCCCCAAATAAGAAAAATGCACATAGGAATGAATGAGACCCAGCTCACCCAGATCATATATAATCTTTAAGTCAACGTGTTTAGAAACTTCTTCACTCATCTTCATTTTGTGGACAATAAGGTGTTGGTTGCACCTCAGATGAGTTGTCAGTGGTGTTGGTACTTTAACTCTTTTCACTGCGGTGTTACTATTCCTGACAGTTGTCTCTATGGTTATTGGGGTGATAAAAGGAGATAACACATTTCAAGTTTTAGAGAAGTGCCTGTCATGTAAGCAATGTGAGAAAGCTGTGCCTTTTCTAATTCTGCCTCTGAAGATTGCTGCCTACTTATAGGCTACCTCTTCGAATGACCGGTGAAGATAACTAAATCAGTATTTCTATCAACTCCCCACTTCTTCTCGATATTAAGGGACAGTTTGTTTGTACTGTTTCTATATTGTAATGACTATTGCTAAGCATAGACTTGCTTTGAGTTCACCCATGTGCATCTGGTTGCTCAAAGACAACTACGTCTGTGTCTTCACTCTAATAAAGCAAATGTTCCCATCCATGAATCTATATCCTTTAAGCCCATCTTATTTTCTACAAATAAACATACTCTTGACTCCCAAACTTGTTTTTCCCATCTCCATAAATGTCATTTATCTATCCAGTTGCCCATACCAGAAACTTGGTAATCATCCTTGACTCTGCCTTCTTTTCTCCACCCACAGCTGAGTGTATATGTGTGTGTGTATGTACATATATATCCACCAACCTCTGACTCCAACACAGCACCTTAATCTAAGCCACCATCACCTCTTGTCTGGACAAATGCAGTAACTTCCTGAGAAGGTTTCTTGCTTTCAGTCACACTTACAGTCCCACCCATCATTCACTCAGGAGTCAGGGTAGAATTTTTGAAACAAAAATGAGACCATGTCTTACCCAGACTTAAATCTGCAGTGATTTCCCATTGCATGCAGAATAAAATCCAAATACATTGTTATGATATATGAGCTGTGCATGCTCTGACCCCAGGAAATGTTTCAGGAAGCCCTCTTCTAACCACTCCAGACTGTTCTTTTATAACAGCACAATTAGTAAGCATAGATTTATTTTTGTCATTACTTGGTTAATGCTGCTCTCCTTCACAGGTCTGTAAGCTTTTATCAGGGCAGGGATTGTATTATCAGTTTTGTTTGTCATTGTATCCCCAGTGCATTGCATAATTCTTGGCATTTAGTATGTGCTCAATAAATGTGAAATAAACAAATGAACTCATCCCAAACTCTAATTGTGCCCTTATATTATTTTCTTATCAAAGTAACATTTTTAAATATTAAAATTAGTTACTAATAATGGGGAATATCTGCGTGCAAGTCATCAGATCATTGGCTTGTGGGAAGAGTTCTAGGAACTTCATCCTAAAAGCCTTCTAGAATTATATCTCAAAGTCTTAAAACACTTTAGAACACTGTAGGTTGATTGATGGATATTTTGATTTTGGTATAGATATTCAAAGTGTGCTTCTTCCTTCCACACTATCTGCGCTATTAAGATTTCCAGAATGACTACTCCAAGTTATAATACTCAGAAGATGAGAGCCCAAATGAAAAGAGCAATGCATCCATCTATTCAAATAAAAAGTTATTGTCTCACCTGTTAAGATATACATTTTAAATCTATCAGCTACTATTGAAATTTTAATAATGGTTTGTGTTTCCTAGAAAAACATGTCTGGCAAGCTTATGAATGGTATAACTTTGAGTATGCTTGGTTGGTAATAGTGGTTGAATTGATACTAGGCTACATGTTTTATATAGTCCTATTTATCTATGAGGCATAAAAGGGCACTTTAGTAATTTAAGTTAACAAAGTCACAAAGTTAGTGGAGGGAATAAGAAATATTGAATGAGGAAATGACACTTGAAATCTGTTTTCATTGCATTTTCACATTCTCCTTCATTCTTAAACACATTTACCTCTAAAAAGCAAGAATGTTATATTGGGAAATAATGTGTCTTGAAAACCTGAGCCATCAAGCTTATGATCCAAGTGGTAATGACATCTGTGATTGCTAATGAGGCAATGGAAAGTGAATATCTCACTGCACTCACTAGGGCAGCCTATTGCCTATTCTACAAGAAGCTGTCATATCAAATTTTTGTCCTGACTCCCTGGGCACTTTGATTCTTAAACCTTTCTGAGAAACCTAATCTGAAATCAAAGTCAGATTTCTTAGACGTGGTCAGACAAGGTCACATTTAAAACAGTTCAGTGAACCTGCAGACCAAAGTTGAAAGGTAATGTCTCCCTCGCAAAATCAAGAGTTTATCCTCTGAAAAATGGTGAAGAGCTTCCTTAAATCATTTAATTAGGAAATTGGACACAGTTGTATTTTGGAAATGCAGCTTTATCTAAATCAGTGACTCATAAGGCATTTTGTTTAAGAAATATCTTGGTCAGAGACTGCATGAAATGAGATGTGAAAAAGAAGTCCTTATTCATATAGTAAGAGCTCTTTAAGTCAGAATTACATGGCAATTTCAGGTCTTTGGCCTTCATTCTTGGCTTAAATTATCCAGATTTACCCACTCTCTTGAGGGACCCAAAAACAATACACAGGATTGCTGCTATAATGCGATGGACATTTTCCCCCCAATGCTACTTTCTTTCCAGGTTGTGCCTTCAGACATCATCCAAAATGGCACTGGAAAGGGGGTGGGGATGGTGATTTTTGTTAGACGTGATCTTAACATCTCACAACACACGTTTTTATCAAACTCCATGTGATTAAAAAAAAAAACAACAACAACCTTGCCATTGCTTTATATTTCAGTGTTCTGTCTCTTGTGGTCGAGGGCATAAGCAACGAAATGTTTACTGCATGGCAAAAGATGGAAGCCATTTAGAAAGTGATTACTGTAAACACCTTGCTAAGCCAAATGGGCACAGAAAGTGCCGAGGAGGAAGATGCCCCAAGTGGAAGGCTGGCGCCTGGAGTCAGGTGAGCAATGCTTCTCCTCTATGACTGCTTCGTTTCCTTCGGGCACATGGCTGAGACCAGCGTGTTGGCTTGTGTTCCTGTGCCTGGTTTTGGTTTCTCAGAGGGGAGCTCGGGCACTGGGAGGGAAGAATCTTTATGCGAGGGTACTTACTAGCTGTGGAACCTTGGGCAAGTGCCTTCAGCCCTTGGCACTTTGAATACTACCTGCAGCAGAGCGGTTGTGCGAGTTAATTCTGTGGTAATAGACAGAGCTATCAGATGTCTAGCACAGAGTAGCTGCTCAATACTTTACCGATGGCATTTGTATTATCATTCATTACTTAGAAAACCACTCATTCAGATTGCAGTGAAGTTGACTATAGTCACCTGGCAGGAAATGAGTCTGGATTTACTGTTGAGGTTCTGAAAGAAAGGTCTGTCAACATAAAGTATTAGAGATTATTTCTTTGCCCATTTACTTGTATACAAGAGAGGTGGGGGACAGAGGGGTAGTTCTCTGTCATTTTCTAGTTAGGCAACCTTCAGTGATTTCTTTAACCTTCCTGAGCCTACTTCATATAATTCTTATGAGGGTTTAATGCAATGATGAATGCCATGTGCTTGAATCTCATAGGCTCTCAAGAATAATAATTTGTTTGGATAAGTGTGATGTGTGTATCAGGGAAAGGGTGTTAGTACCCAAGAAACTGATTATGGTTAGACTCTGCTAATTCTAAACATTTAGGAATTTAGTCAGAAATTGGGTGTGAGAGTTTCCCTGCTACATTTAAGAAGAAATTTTCAAAACTTCTATTTACTTATAAACAACAGATTCCTGTTATAAAGTCACTGGCATCTAGTTCTTAAAGTAAATCTCATTACAGCACACTTGTTCATTTTCTCAGAGTGGTTGGAGGTGCTTACTTAAAAGTAATAAGGCTGAATTTCTTTTCATATCTTCTGTATTTAATGATGCTACTTCTCTCCATTGCTTTGATTCAAGGAGGTCTGAGTAAATTTGTGGTTCTCCCACACAGTGAAGAACCATGCAGATACTCTTTAGAATCAATTTTTAAAAACTACAACAACAAACAACAAACCTAGGTTAAAGGTTGGTGGCCTCTGGACTGATTCTTCCAGAGCCTACATCTTGATCCCTAAGGCCCAAAGAAGCATTGGGCATCTGTATTAACATGAGAAGGAACCGATTTTCTACATGGCTCATAGAAAATTCCTCTAGAAATGCGCATTTTTCTTAAGTGCTCTGAGCTGGCATCGTTGTCCCCAATACCTCCCAGCTATCCTCCACTTCTCTGCATCATTCTCCAGCAGAAGACTCTGATCCTCTCAAGGCTTTTATGGTAATAATCATGTTTGTTTTTGTCTTTGTTTTAATTTAATCCTCAAAGCATCTGTGCCCAGGCAGAGCTAGTTCCTCCTTTGGTTTCCCTGAGGGATGCACTTTCAAGGCGGTGTTTCTTACTAGTCATCCTTAATATTTGTCTAAGTGACTGCTGTCATCTCCACCTTCTAGGCCTTTGATTTTGGGAGCTATTCAAGTCATGTAAAAGCCCAGAGCTAACCTTAGTTAGGAAACCACACTAATTAGCTTGTTCTCTTGTAGACTTTCATGCTCTTACTTTTCTTTTTATCCCTTAGCTTCTACTTATCTGTATGCATCTTGCCCTGAATATTAAGTTTACAGCATGTAAAATGATGCTCATTTTAAAGTCCAATTCATTGAATAAAAAGACGATCAAAAGAATCTTTCTCTCTTTATTGGTAAACACAGAGTGGGTTTTCCTGCAGTATCCTTTGGTCTTGATGGGAACTCTAAAATTGCTCACAAAGCTGTGATGATTCGGTCTGAACCCTGACTTGTTGTTTTCTTTTTTTTCAAACATAAGGGAACAGAATTTTCAGAATACCTCCCCAGAAAAGACCATACCTGTTAAAGTAATTGCTTAGAAAAGACTAGTTACTTTTGTAGCAGATGCAAGTAAGCACAGTTATGTAATTGTCTGTGGCCAGCTTTTAAAATGCCCTGATTTGATATGCAGAAATGAATTATATATAAAAGCAGACAAAACAAGGTGCTACTTAGGTAAAATCCAATTTGTGCAATTTAGAAGTATACCTAAAAATAATCAGACCCAGTGGTTGATGGAGAAAGATGGTCTGCATGATTAAAGATTATTGGCTTACTAATGATCTGGTAGTAAACAGAAATATTCCTAGACAGTGATATTAAAGCAAGTATCCATTTGCACCAAATTCAGAAGATTTTACATCTGGTCCCTTTGTTTTCTGCTGGTAGCTATTTTCTGGTCATTTCTTCTTCAAGGTAGGAATAATAATTAGTGCAATTTCTCATCATGTCAAAATGTCTGATGATACTAAGATATATAGAATATTGAGACAGGAGACTAGGGTAGCTGTACTAATCTCATAGTCTCTCCCTTAAAATTGGTGTTTTGAGATTTAAAGTGAAATGTTTTATTTAACCTACATCTTTTGAGAATCTTGAAAATATAAAGGAAATTTCTGCAGAGAAAGGAATGCTTTTCTTGAAAAACATCCTCACTATAGTTTTAAAGCATTTTTTTCAAAAGTTCATGTTCAATTTGTTTAGATGATTTTGATCAAGAGCTAAGGTTAGATGCCTATGAAATTTTAAGACAAACATCAACAACAAATTCCTGATTCAACTCTGTTTTGTCACAGCACAAAAACATTCCAGAGTTACTTTCTTTTATTTTACCTTATCCTATTCCTATCAGAAGACTTTTTTAAAAAATGAAGATCAGAAATAAAAAGAATAACTGATTAAACTAGAATTTATCAGTCATGAATATATTCAGTGGATGCATCATCAACCCTGAGTCACCTGTCTTTTTTTACTCTTTACCATCCCAGTGGTCAGGATGGCCCTAACAATCAATTGGAATGCCATGACTTAATTAATAACCCTTGTTTTTCCATCTTACTGATACAAAACATAATGCTGTGCTTGCAATCAGTGGTGTCTTAGATTTAGGGAAATAATTCATTTCTTCAAGCTCTTCAATTTAGCTTCAAAACAGAAGCTGGCAATTGCATTATGAATCTACTAGTCATTTTGGGTTAGGACTCTTATCTCTTTTTTTAGATTTGTTTATTTTTAGAGAGAGGAAAAAGGAGAGAGAAAGGGAGAGAAACATGTGCAAGAGAAACATCAATCAGTTGCCTCTCAAACACCCCTAAATGGGGACCTGGCCCCTAACCCAGGCATGTGCCCTGACTGGGAATCAAACTTTCAGTCCGCAGGCCAGCGCTCAATCCACTGAGCCACACCAGCCAGGGCAGGACTTTTATCTTAACTGCACTGAGAACAGAACCTGTGGTGTCAGATTCCGAAGTATTCTGCAAATGTTTAAGGGAGAAACATAGCAAATATGTAGCTTGTGTCTTTTGAGAAATCAAGGAAATCATGTGCATATGGTCAGTGAGGAGAAATAGAGCTGCTTTAAAGATAGATGCGTGCTCTCATGACTGTGTTTGTGTTTGAACTATGAGCATTGGTGTTGAATTGTTTGCATACAGGTTTCTCACCTGCACCGTAGCTGACATTGTGCAGAAGGCTGCATTCTGTTAGCAACATATTTTAAAACTGGAATCCACAGTAGCTATAGTCAGTACATTGCCTGGGACAGAATTTACTCTGTTTTTTTATTTTTCTTGTTTTGCTTTAGTTACAGTAATTATCTCTGTTCTTTGCTTAATTTATTTGTGGAGTACCTGCCTAAAAGTTTACTAAAAAATACAAAAGGTATTTTATGTAAAACACTTAGCATAGAGATAGCTCCCAGCCAGGGTAAGTTTGTACCCCTTGGGACATTTGGCAATGTCTGGAGACAGCTTTGGTTGCCACAACTTGGTGGAGGAAGGGAAATGCAACTGACACCTTGTTGGTAGAGCCCAGGGATGCTGCTGGACTTCCTGTAATGCACACGACAGTCTCTTAACAAAAAGGAATTATTAGGTTGAGAAACCCTCTTTTAGAGACTAGTACATAGTAAATGCTTAGTAAAAGTTTGCTGTTACTGTTGTTACTATTTTTATATTATTATAGCTGGTTCATATAGTTATTTTTCAAGTTAGTATCTCCTTTAAAGAATGTGACCACAGTAATACTGGAAGAAAGTATCTAGAATTCTTTCCAGGGTTTCAAGTATATATTATGATTCCTCAAGCCTCAGAACTTCCACAGCAATTCTTTTTATCTGTGGAAGTAAATAAGCATCAAGTCCCGTCCCCCCATTTAAGTCAGTGAGTTCTGCATAGTAGCTCTGCACAGCAGGGACTACAGAGAGATGAAACAGCTCCCGGCTCAGTAGTTCGGAACTAAAAACATCTACTTTCAAACCTGCACAAATAGACTGCCATGCAAAATGATGGCTGTGGGGAACACATAAATAGAGACTGCTCAACTTTTTTTTCTCTACAAACTAACCAAAAGATGTAGTAAGTAAAACCAGAAGAACTAAGCAATCTCAAGTATACATGCCACCCCCATCACCACCTCCAGGGTCATGCAGAGGTCTTTTTAATGCTGTTTTATTCATGGGGTTTCTGCACAAATGTCTCAGAATTCACCAGGCAAGCCTGGCTGGCTGTGTATGTAAATTGTTGTATCCCCTGAGACAGCACACGGGGAAAACTGGAGCCCAGACGAGGCGCTGAGGCAGTGCACTTCATTTTGAACAAAGATTCTGGTGAATACAGGATGCAGAAAGTCAGAGCTTGTGCCTCATTGTGCATTTAAGTCATGTCAAAATATTTTTGCGTCATTTCAAAGCTGGCTTTGACATTATAGAAATCAGAAGCCACAAAGATATGTTATGTAATTGAACTTTGCTGTGTCTTTATTTGCCTTTTTGAAAAAGTATCAAACATTGTACGAAGAGATTTTTTTAAATGTGGCATACTTAGGGCTCTTAATACCTTGTCTTTGTTCAACCATAAGTAATTTACTCAATAATGATAGCATTAAAAAGAGGTTTCATTGACTTAGAGTCTGAATAGTATACACTCTAAAAGTCTTTAATGTTGTTTCCTTTTTCTTTAGTCTATTAAAACATTGTGAGTTTTTGAATATATATCAGCCCTGTGCCCAACTCAAATTTATGTAACTGTTCTTTTTCTTCCTTTGTGTTTCCATTTGGATACATTGTTCTGCACATGTACAGTTGTATATTTTCGACTCCAAATTCAAATAGCCAAAGGGTTTTTTGGGTGCTATTTGTTGATGATGAGTGTTTGAATGTTTCTGCCATTTGTGTGGTAACTCTCCGATGGTACTGTTCGTTCATTTTCAGTGTAACTGGTGGGGAATACTATGCATGCGGCTCCCGTAGCATTATATGACCATTCTCTGTAGATAGGCAGTCTCTTGTGTCCAGGCATTCCCTGTTCTACCAGGATATGATGACTTTAAAAGTCTGGTGTTTTGTGAGTCACAAAACAAATTAATTTTGCCTTCAACCAAATTAATACAATTAAACCCAAACAATAGCAGCTATGTTGCTCAAAATATCTCCTCTCTTTAGCTAGTTTTGATGTGAACATTTGAGCTCCTGCCTGGCTTAGACTCATCTGAAATGATATGATTTCCCGAGCTGCCTATGTTCTTGAAATCTGAAATGGCAAAAAAAAAAAAAAATTAATATTCAGCAGAATTCGTCGGGTATACTTCATAATAAATTTCCATTAGCTCGGGGTGAGATGAGTCCTACTGTAGGTTAATTGGACAAATTTTTTTTTTTAACTTAAAAGAGCATGATTCTATTCTTTATTAAGACTTCCTCTTAGGCATATGGCTTTAACGTATGTCAAACTTGTTTTCTCGATGCCAGACAAATTCATGGGGGCTGCGCCATCACAAAAACTTGGTAAAAATTTTAACTAGCTAAGTGTAATAATATGCTGTTTTTTTCAGTCAAAGGATGCCTTTAGTTTCTGACTGTCAAAGCCTTAATAAAGACCATAATTTTGAGCCTGACCATAAGCAAGATTAAAAAATGCAGCAATGAGGAAATCATTTAAAAATTAATTTAGAGGAAAGTTAATTGCAGATTTAATATGGGGTTTTACAACTTAGTCAACAAATGCTTCAGCCTGATTAACAGTATTTTTCAAGAGCTGAAGCATTATGCCTAAGGAAATGGTTTTTCATTGTCAGCTTTTATTCTTATATAGTCATCTTAGGCTGTAGATAGACAAAAGTACTGATGAATTCAATAGTTTAGTAAAAATTCCTATATCTCCAGGAATAGGAGCAAGAAACGGAAGAGACTGGAGAAAATACTTCTACTTACAAGGTCCTAAAAGCTTCAGTGATTTACTTTCCGTGGGTTATACTTTTAACCTGCCAAAAAATTATTCTTGTAGAGTACTGTAACTCCAATTTTCAAGAGCCTCAAATCCTCCAGGATAAAAATTATTTGGGATTTTTATTTCGCATGGCAGCTCTATTTCTAGGTTGTACTAAATGTTTCCTAATGATTTCTCCCAACCTCTTCAACCATAAATGTTTTGGTAACTTGAGAGATTCCTGAAACTCGAATACCTTCCTCACTCACCAACACTGATAGGCAGTGAGTTTGCAGATTTAAGACCTTACTTCGGGTCCGTTCATTGGAAATTAGAAACCCCTTTGATAGCTGTGAAAGGCATTGGATTAAGGGTACATTTCTCAGCTTTGTGACTCCCCCCACCACTCACACACACACAAACACAGTGGCCCAAAGCTTCCACTTACACACTTTTGTCTTCTTAGTGCTCTGTGTCCTGTGGCCAAGGCGTGCAGCGGAGAAATGTGGGCTGTCAGATGGGAACTCGCAAGGTATCCAGCGAAACCGAGTGCAACCCCTACACCAGACCAGAGGCGGAGCGCACCTGCCAAGCCCCGCTGTGTCCCCTCTATGCTTGGAGGGCAGAGGAATGGCAAGAAGTAAGTACCTGCCAGGCATTTTGCTCAATCCCCTTGCTATCATCACATCCATCCCCTGTGAAGCCTTCAAGCACAGTGACAAGGCTGGCTCGCTCCCAAAGGTTTGTGGTCAGAGGCCGGCAGTTCACTCCCACCGGGCTGGGACACCTCCTCCTTTTTGCACAATTCCTCTGTCTGCGTCCTTGAATGTTTCTAGTCCGGCTGCCTCCAGAGAAACTTTAACAGGCATTAGGCCAAATGCATGCAGATAACTGTCACAGGAGGAGGGGAAATGGACAAAATGTTTTAAATAGATGTGTCCCAGATTTGGTCATTCCATGGCAGACAGCCACAGACAGACTCCAGGTAGGACTGTATTCCTCCCCCTTTCAGGCCTTACCGTCAGGAGGCAGGAGTTCATTGGAAACCCTGATTAATTAGTGAATTATTTCAACATTAAAAAAATGATGGAATCTGAAGAATTGCTCTGTTGATGCAGAAATAGGTAGAACTTGTTTTTCTCCCGTTTAATTTTTAAAGAAAATGGTAATGTTTATTGTTAATGTTTTGTTAAAGAATATACTAACTGTCCCTATGGAAAAGTCTGGCTTAAAAGGTAAGACATTAGTAGGAGCTAACCTCTGTATCCAGAACAGAAAATTCAGTTGTAGAAAAGGCGGAAAAGTGCTTTAGGAAGCAAAACTATGTCCACTGATATTTGAATAAAATAGGAAATGCATACTGTTATTCACAATAGCTAAGACATGGAAATAACCCAAGTGTCCTTCAGCAGATGACTAGATAAAGAAAATGTAGTAAATATACAGTGGTAGGCAAAAGTAGGTTTACACTTGAAATATAAGTAAATAATACAATAATTAACTAATAATAATATATAATAAACTCTGTTTCACATGAAATACAAATAAATAATACAATAATTAATAAGTAATAACACAAGAATAAACTCTGCGTTTTACATACTCACAACTGTAAACCTACTTCTGCACAACCCTGTATCTACAATGGAATACTACTCAGCCATTAAAAAGATGAAATATTGCCATTTGTGACAACAGGGTTGGACCTTGAGGGTATCATGCTAAGTGAAGTAAGTCAGGGGGAAAAGTGCAAGAATCATATGATTTCACTCACATTTGGACCATAGAACTGAAAACAATGAATTAATCAAACAAACAAGAAGTAAACTCATAGACACAGACAACAGTAGGGTGGCTATGAGAGGGAAAGGTTGTGGGGATGAGGAAGAGGGTAAAGGGGATCAGATATGGTGATGGAAGGAGACTAAACTTCAGGTGGTGAGCATATAATACAGTACACAGATGCCAGATTATAAAGTTGTACACCTGAAATTTATATAATATCATTGACCAATGTTATCCCGATACGTTTAATTTTTTAAAACAGTATATTCTGTAAGAGGTTTGGGGGTACGAATAATAAGACAGAAACTTACTACCAGGAATAGTTTTAAGAACAGGGGTAAACTGTGCCCCATGTGGTCCTAAGTGCTTAATGTTCACCAACTCACTTAATCTTTATAACCACTAGGCAAAGTGGGCATTATTATTATGACCCCATTTTGTGGTCGAGGAAACTTAGGTTCAGAGAGCCAATGTCATTTGTCCAAATGTTACATACTTAGCAAGTGGAAGAAGCAAGACTCGGTCCTGTGTTTATGCTCTTAAACCACTATGAGATACAACACTGTATTACTTTTTTTTATTATTTTACACAAGTACTGTGGCATTTCCACTTTTTTTCAGTTTTATTGAATATAATTGACATAAAGCATTGTATTCATTTTTGGTGAAAGCATGATGATTTGATATATGTGTATATTGCAAAATAATTACCACAGTAAGTTATAGTTAATATCCATCACCTCACATACTTACGAATTGTTTTTCTTGTGATGACAAGTTTTATGATCTCCTCTCAGCAAATTTTAAATATATGACGTGGTATTGTTAACTATAGTTACCATGCTGTGCATTACATCCCCAGGACTTACTTATCTTATAACTAGAAGTTTGTACCTTTTGACCAGCTTCTTCTCTGTCTTTATAAGTTTGGTGTTTTAAATATTCTACATATAAGCAATGTCATACAGTTTTTGTGTTACACTGTCTGATTTATATCACCATAATGCCCTCAAGGTTCATCCATGTTGTTGCAGATGGTAGGATTTCCTTTTTGTTTTATGACTGAATGATATTCCATTTTATATACATATATAGACAGAGAGAGAGAGACCATATTTTCTTTATCCATTAATTCATCAGTGGACCCTTACGTTGCTTCCATATCTTGGCTGTTGTAAACAATCCTGCAGTGAACATGGGTGCATATATCCTTTTGAGTTAGGGATTTTGTTATCTTTAGATAGATACCCAGAAGTGTGATTGTTGGATCATATGATTGCTCTGGTTTTAATTTTTCGAGTAACCTACATACTGTTTTCCATAATGGGTGCACCAATTCACACTCCTACCAACAGTGCACAAGGGTTCCCTTTCCTCCACATCCTCACCAGCACTTGTTATTTCTTGCCTTCTTGATGATAGCCAGTCTCACAAGTGTGAGGTGATATCTAGTATGGTTTTGATTTACATTTCCCATATGATTAGTGATGAAAGCACTGAATCCTAGCCACTTGACCATCAAGGAGTCCATCCCTGATGATTAGTGAAGTTAAGCACCTTTTCATATATCTGTTGGCCATTTTTATGTCTTCTTTTGAGAAATGTCTATTCAGGTCCTTTGCCCATTTTTAGTTTGATGTGGTCCTACTTGTCTGTTTTGCTTTCATTGCCTTTGGTTTTGGTGTCAGTCCAGAAAATCATTGCCAAGGTTGATGTCAAGAAACTTACCCCCATGTCTTCTCCTAGGAGTTTTATGGTTTCAGGTATTATGTTCAAGTATTTCATCCATCTTTAATTGACTTTTGTATCTGGTGTATTATTGGGGTCCTGTTTCATTCTTTTGCAGGTAGCTATTATCCTAACACCATTATTTAAGAGACTATCCTTTACCCTTTGTATGTTCTTGACTCCTTTATCATAAATTAACTCATATATATGTGTGGGTTTATTTCTAGGTACTCTATTCTACTCCATTGATCTGTGTGTCTTTTTTATGCCAGTACTGTACTGTTTTGATTACTATAGCTTTGTTGTAGGTTAAAATCAGGAAGTGTGATACCTCCAGCTTCATTCTTCTTTCTCAAGATTGCCTTAGTGGGTCAATTTCCATACAAATTTTAGGATTTTTTTATTTCTGTGGAAAATGCCCTTTTGTCATTTCGATAGGATTGCATGGAATCTGTAATGTGGACATTTTAACAATATTAATTCTTCTAGTTCATGAACACAGAATATCCTTTTATTTATTTGTGTTTTCTTCAGTTTCTTTTGTCAGTGTCTTGTAGTTTTCAGTGTACTGATCTTTCACCTCCTTGAATAACTTTATTCCTAATTTTATTTTTTGATGCAGTTTTAAATGGGATTTTTTTTTTTTTTTTTTTTTTTTAGAACTTCAGGCTTCATATATGTGGGGATTTAGCCTTCCAGTCCTGTCATTCCCTCTCCCTCATCCTCCTGATGGTCCCAATGTTTGTAGTCATCTCCTTCTTTGGGCTTTCACCTTCTTTCTTCCTTCCACCTCCTCTCTCACCCACTCACTCTGCTCCATATTACCTGATACCTAGTTGGGGTAGGTATGTGTCTTGACTTTCCTCCCTTCATCTAGTGACAGTTTGACCTGATGTCAGTGAGCATGCCAAGGCACAGCCTCAGAGCTCACTGAATGGGAGGTGCTGGGTTTCCCCAGAACCCCTTTATGGGAAATCCTCTTCCTCTTAGCAGTCCTTGGCAACCAGCAGAGCTCTTGTTTGCTTTCTGAGTGTGTACTTTCCTCTTTTGCTTCCCCCGGGAGATTATTAAAACTCACCTGTTTGTTAACAAGATGCATAGCAAGGGACACAGCAAATGACACCCTCCTCTTTTTGAGAAATAATCCATGCATCCACCTTGAGAAGTACAAGTTATGCATACATAAAATAGCATTATCAACATATTTTATACAGCCACCCATGCTGTTTGCCTCGCAACTCCGGAAGTGCTGTCTCCATAGGCTGCAATGCCAGGGGCATCCACTAGAGTTGTGGAGTGCAGTGGCCCTACTACTTACTGATGATGATTTTTTAAAATCATACATCTTATTGTTTATTAAGCTGTGGACTGAGCACTATGTGGAGAACCTTATTTAGCCTTTTCCATAACTCTCTAATGTAGCAATTAGATCTTTATCCTCACTTAAAGATGAGGAAACTTGAGGCTTAGATAAGTTAATTCATCCAAATTCATGCATTTACTAGGTAATGAGGCTGGGATTTGAAGCCCAGCAGCCTAATCTCTGGAACACATGATCTGAATCTATATTCCCCTGCCTTTTGTATACCGAAGTTGAATAATTTTATTTCCCTCTTAATGGCTTTTGCAGCCACTTACTGCAGAGTTGGCATCAAAGTAGAGTTCCCTTGACTGGGTGGCCACCCCCACTTGCTTCTAAAAATAAAATTCTTGGTCCAGTTGGTTGATGACCAGGCCTTAAGCCATGTGGTTGGGCACGGCTGGGGTAGGGGAGTCTTGATGGTGCTGGACACCTCACTGGACCACTTTTGTTTATAGCAAGGCTTCTTGACTGTGTGGGCAGAAGGGACATCAGTGTGCCTTCATGACAGCTCAGGGTAGAGGCTGGACTTTCAGATGCAGGGCAAAATAATTGAAGAATAGAAAAATGCTCTATCCAGACATTAGTGTCTCATTTTGCTTATGCCCTAGAAGTATCCCATTGTTAACAAAAGATCATTCCATGGGTGGCTCTGGGAAATCTACTTATCTCTGGGCTCCAGGTAGCTTATCTGCTAAATGGAGATTATACAGCGATCTTTGTTGAAGGGATTGAAGGGTCATACTGAGGATTAAGTGAGACTAAGT